TACAATTCAAGAGCATCAACATTTTGACCAATATCCATCGGCGAGCTTCCAGAGCATAAAACGAAAAAAAAATGAAATTACCCGAACATTCCGGGAAACTTGCTCATAGAGGTTATCTGTCCTGCTGATTTCGAAATTCACATCTGCTTAGGAAGATAGCTTCGTATTCTAGGGCTGTGGCGAGTAGAAGTTTCTGCGACAAGATTTTTCCCCAATACACCAGTCCTTCTATCTCCCTTCGAAAGAAGTTTGCGGAGACACTTTAGCGATCATTAATCTGCAAGGGAGGTACTACAGAATCGCTCTTACAGTAGTCTACTAGAGGCAGTGCGCGCTACTTTACATCTTTGCAAAGTGACGTCCGCAGAAAGATTCACGAATACTGAAATAGGAATATCAAGGGCATGCTGCATATCGAAAGGTTCGCCTTGCCGAGCTGAGCACGATGCTTTTTTCGGATTCAGAATGCATTCATTCCGAAGGAAGTTATGACAAATAGAATCAAAAAACGCGTGATTTTTCCAGAATTCACCAACGCTTGTATTTCTTCTGGAACGAAATCCGCAACTATACTTTAGTGCTCTATAACTTACAAGAACCGTACTATCGAATATTAATTACTAGCATCTTTTATGTTAGATAGGCGCTGCGTTACATCTTTGCAAACAGACCTCCGCAGAATTTGAGAAAACTGGAAACGGAATCGGATTCATAATTTATTCATTCTGAATGGAGTTATGGCGTTGTGCAGTTTGCATGATTCGTGTGATTCCGCGGAAATCCCGGAATGTCGCAAAACTCCCAGAACGTTGCGGACTTTCGCAAAACTCCCGGAATTTCACGACATACAAAGAAAATCTGCATTTTTGTGAGCTATTGTAGATAGCAAGAAATAGAGTAGAGCATAGGAGAACTCAAAAAGACATCGATACGGAGGCAACAGCCTATGTACGCGCATCGTTCGTGGGCGTGTGGACTCTGACGGAAAGATGCTCGAGCACGCGTTTGCGCCGTTTCGCACCTTAGACCGATCACGTTCGTGGATCTGGATTTGTATGTCATACGCAGAAAACAGAAGTGTTCAACTCATCTTTGAAACTCCTGTTGACAGACGACTCCGTTCATTCACAATGCATAGAGCGGTGAATTTTTTTTTTGAAAGAGCATCTATCTATTGCACCGAATGCGCAATTGAACCGAAAAAGCCTGTAGATCACATTCTATAAGAGATAGAGCAATAAAAACTCGCACAGCGTTTCCTAAAGTACATTCCTTACTTTATGTCAAAAATGATCCAATTTTGTGATATCATCAGTGATAAATGATAAAATGGTGATATCAATGATAACGACAGATAAGAATGGCTTAAATTTACAAGCTCGATTCCCACGTTCATCTTCCATATAGGTGCAGAATTTCAGCCCAGGCTTCGGCGTGAAGCGAGTTTAAGCGAAAATGCCATTTCAGGTAAGGATTGGCAGCAATGACATGTGCCGATGAGAAATCGATCGATTGCTGCAGCGAGGGATCTACCAATTGACCGAACAATAGAACTAGGAAATCCTGTAGATCACTTATAATGAGAGAAAGAGCGATAGAAATTCACACAGCTTCCTAAACTACTTTTCTTACCATATGCCAAAAATGATCCAAAAATATGATATTATCAGTGATAAATGATAAAATGCTTATATCAGTGATAAGGGTAAATAAAAACTGCCCAATTTTTCGCGATAGTTTTCGCTAATGAGAACTTCGTACCAGAACCTCCTATTCGCGATTTACACGGTGATAGATGTTCACAAAAGCCTTAACATAGAAAATAACAAGGTATCACCATATGTCTACCGTCACTATGAATTACGGACATATTGTATACCAGAAGATTCGTCTCATCAAGCTGAAGCCAAATCTTCACGCAGATTATAAATAAAGCTGTTTTAAAAGAAGTTATAGCTAAATCCCGCTTATCCCGCAAATCCCGCGAATCCCGCAAATCCCGTGAAGCCGCGAATCCCGCGAATCCCGCGGATCCCGACAATCCCGCGAATCCCGACAATCCCGCAATTTTGGACAAATTCTACCGCTGCAACTGTACGACCTAGACGTATATTTCCACAAGTTGTTTTTGTGAAGCTTCTTGTCTCTCTTACAAACAAAAGTGTCTACCTACCAATGTGTAACTACCACAAAACTGTGACAAGCTTTTTGAAGCTCAGGCCTTGCAAAGCCCTGAGCTTCAAAAATTGTTCAAAAAAATTTGGAGGAAGAAGCAACTGAAAGCGGCGGCAAACAAACAACAATCATTAAGTTTCGCGAAAGAATCTAATATTCATCTTGTTTTGGATTTTTGTATTTTTTGAGTTGATTGATTGCTTTATTCTATAGAATTTAGTTGATTTTTATACCACAGTATCTATTAAAGAGTTTTGAAAGCGTGCGGAAAAAAGTGCGACTATCGTAAATCTTACTGTGATCGATAAAAACACTGTTTTTCATGAAATACGTGGTTATTGTTTCCCGGATGAAATGCTGAGTCTGCAATAGTTCTTTTTGATCAAGATTCGCTTTTAGATTACCTTCTCAATTCACCCTCAGGTGAAGGGGATCACCTAGGTTCTGAATCAAAAGTGATGAGTGTAAGATTGCTCCCCCTATCGCAGCTACGCCCGCAACCATGAACTTTTTTGGTAAAATTTCAGAGATTTTATGGAATGTCCCGAGAAATGTACATGCACACTATTTGGGTTTGATGATTGATCGAATATATGGCGCGTATTATTTCTATAAAAATGAACAGCCAACGTTTTGCGAAAAAAGGATCGCTTAGGCCTCGGGTAGAGTTCACGCGATTTGATCGTCGCGATACAATCGCAATAAGACACCTGTTACGAGTTCATTGCATGCAGACCAGCTTGCATTTCGGTTGTGATACTTTCCCAGCCCAAATTTTTGAATGTAAAATGAAAATGAATGGAAATCGCGACGATCAAATCGCGTGAACTCTGTCCGAGGCCTTATTGTGCTGCACTAGCCGGAAACATTGTATAGCGGCCATTTCGTGAGGTACAGTGAAAAGATGAGCTCCTTCCATACAAGGGACTCTAACTCCGTCTACCCGATCTACTCCAGATAGGCGGTCACACAAATAGAGCGAGAAAATGTGAAATAATGCACCTCGCCTCTGTGTGTACAACCTTTAAAATCAACCTGAGTTGTAGAGCCAAAATCCAAATAAAGTTGAATGCGGCAATAGAGTCGTAAGACCGCCTTAATGGAGCACTCAGATCCTCTTCAGGTAGTTTCCACCTCCACTTCTAATCTGAAAGCCAACTGTTGATAGATTTGTGAATTTCAACAGATCCAATTCTCTGGTAGTGCTCTATATATATGCTTTGTTGTGAACACTGGAGTGGTACTTTTTATTTGCAAATTGGAGCAATCTTGGCTCAAAAAAGATTTGTAAGATGCTGAAAGATATTTTTCCTGAGTACTTGAGAAGTCTTCCTCTGAGAATGTATTTTAATCACTTATAGTTCTAGCATCGTGCGAACTCGATTCAGTAATTACTCCGATGTCTTTTCCGCGTTTCACAGCGTCACTAATGAACCGTTTACTCAGCAGATGATTGTGAGTTAGACGCCTTATTTCTCAGCTAGATTTTAATCTTAATTTCTCAAGGAAATCGAAAAGGAATGCGATATCGAATTGGAAAGGAAAGGATTCAGTGCTTTGCAGCGTTCACAGCTTGCCGATTTTTTCCGCAATGACAGGAGGGAATACATAGCGGTGAGATTTTGTTGTTATGGAGCCATTGCACTACACTAAAATTTCTACGTTGAGCTGACAAAAAAATTTGCACATTTAATAATTTGTGTCTCATACACAATCAGCTCAGTGTAATGGTAGCACTTTTTACTAAAGTCCAAGGCGCATGTCTTCCTATGAGACAAGTTCGACAAGTCTGGCAGTTCCAGTGAAATTATGTGCTTCCACATCATCTAATCGACTTGAACGTTCATTTGAGTTGAGGGTGGTGGGATGTCGACATAACACGAGAGCAAAACTCCTGGTTAAACGCAACATTTTAAGTCCGATCGAAAAATGTGCTTTTCGAAGCGAGAAAACGCTTTGGATGAGACTAACAAGGGAAGGATACTAAATTAGATTCGCCTTTTGAGATGAGACACATATATTTGGAACCGGCTTTGAACGCTGATTCCAAATATGTTGTTCCTAGCTGCTTAGCGTTTTCGGAGCGAGTTACGCGCTTGTCGTTGTGAGTAATTAACAAACTTCTGAATGTCGTAAGACGGCGTACAGATAAGAATCTGCTCGAAAAATTGCTAGGATGTTGAATAGCATTAGATTAATTTTTTCGATCCCAAAAAGGAGCATTGTACAATTGAAAAATCACCTAGACGTCGACAACGTGGCATCCGTATCTGGGAGAACACGCAAACTTTGTATAGAAAAGAAACCATAACTCGCTTCACAATAGTGCTAAGCAGCTAGTAACATGATATTTGGAATCAGCGTTCCAAGCTGATTCCAGAAATGTGTGTCTCATTTCAGTAGGCGAATCTACGTTAGTATTCTTGCCTTGTAAGAGCAAGGCGCGGTACTCCGACCACGCCTCAAATTGGTGGAATTCCGCCTTCGTGCTCGCCCATGCAATCTTCGTTCAAACCCGCGGCGCTGATTTTTCGAAACGGGTTGTTGGGTTTTCGCGGATTCTCGACTCTATTATTCGGCAGAGACATGGAAAGGTCCCGGAACGACAAAAACATGCAGTTCGAGAATTTGGACGGAAGGTGCCTTTATTATAGTCAAGATACCACCCAACGGTGTCAGGAAAGCATAGGTCTTTAGAAATAACCTGCAAAAACACCCAAAAGCTTATGGAGCTACCCAAAATTTGTTTGTTGTCCCTTCACAGGACAGATGGCTGGCAGAGACTAATAAGCTATATAATATTTGAAATTTTATTCAGTTATTGCCAGTAATCTGTATATATCTTTCTGGTGTCTTTGATGAACTCCTTTTTAAACTTGTTCACTCGTCATTCCGTATTCGGTGCGCAGTTTTTCAGATAAACGAATAAGTACGACTTCCGCAACGTGGTTCCCTGCAAGATCAGCTTTAGAAGCTCTCTAGTAAAAAATGGGCTCTTTTTTCCTGTTAGGTTCGATCTTTTCTACATGTACCTATATTCGAGGCAATAGATTTGTCAAGAGCATTTCTCGAACTAATCTGCAATCTTCTTGCTTCTTTTTTCGCAAACTCTCCAAGATCTTGTAACAGCTCTAATACTACGGGGTAGACCAAATCGTTCAGCCTCTGCCATGTAGATGCAGTCGACGACGTGCTCTAAAAGCTCAAATGCTGAACTGTAGCATAGGTCTGACTACTCATGTAGTAAGTACCGTGAGGTATTCTCTGAGTCCTTGAGGAGCATTATCAAGAACAGGTTTGATATAATCAGACACAACTTCAAATGCTCTCTCGTTATTGCTCCTCCACGACCACTTTAGCTTTGTCTTAGTGCCCATAACTTGAGAAGGTTCTGCTTTTGTCTCTGTAATGAAAGTTTTTTGACTTTGAATCATACACATCTAGCGCAGGACGAGTCTACTGGTGCGTACATGAAACGCAAAACTGTACATCATTCACGAGTTGTTAATTATATATAGCATGTGCCTACCGCATACGTCAGGACCAAAATAAAGCTCCTTCGCGCCTTCTAACATGTATAAATTGAGATCTACATCTAGATCGTCGATCCAAATGGTCATAATAGCTGTATTAATTGCCGCTTCCGGGACTTTTATCTGTAAAAATGATCATAAGTGAACTTGTTAGTCTTGAATACTGGTTAGTTAATCATAGTAAAGTTTGGTGCAATAGCATTTTTCGCGCTTCTACCCCGACCCAGTATATTACACCAATTTCAGGGTAAATTTCTCGGCTAGGTGGTCTGAATCGAATCGGACCTGGGCATGGCCTGTTTAATGTGTCCTCTGACAATGTTTGTAGGAAACCCGCACTAACTATACAATTTTATTGACTAACTTCAAGGCGTCTACTACCGGGGTTATTTCCTGAGCATGTGAATTCACATGATGGCACCGTACTTCATGCAAAATTTTGGCTCGTGACCTTAGCTGCAACTCGCTTTATGGATTTCGCGACAGAAGCAGATCCGCCGCAATACCACACATACACAGACAAAAAGACACTGGCATTAGCTTTATCACTTACTATTCGTTTTGTGAGGATTATGGTAGCTGTTTGAAAGTTAAAACTCCTCACACTCAAATGTTTGAATTCTTCACTCTTGATACGTCCAGTTCCATGGGTGCAGCGAAAATAGTGCAAATGTTCCTTGTGACAGCTGCATCGTACTTTGTATGTGTGATCTGCTACTGTAACCAAAACCGCCGTTTTTCAAACAAGACAAATACTTCACTTACTTGCTGTAGTGGCGTCCAGTTTTACAGTTCCGCTCCATATCCGAATGCTGCCATTATCGCTATAAGGCCAAAGCCCAACATTTGTAAATACCTTCACACCGTATAGTTCAGTGAATACAACTGGCATGACTCCAAAAAGAACAGCTCAAAGACAGTCCAAAAGTAAGGGATTCCCATACATTAGAACTTTGTTGGTTGTGTGATGTATATTACCACATGTAAGCCAACTGTGTGCGAGAATGAACCACCTTAGAATTCATGGAGATCAATACTTTATCTGTTGAGAATGACTATTGCAAATTTATTGCCTTCGGCAGTGCTTCCCCTTTACTAGGATATGTTGGGAGAAGAAACTACTATGATCCACTTCCGAAGGTAGGTGGACTAGCCCGCCAAGTGGTCCGTTTGACGCGCAATTTTCAATAGATACACTCAATGGATCCGCTCATGCTTTTGTATAATGAGCTTTCATGCTGGTAGCGTGCGCTATGCAAAATTTGGGCTCATCACGTTGGCTGGCACACGCTCTACGAATTTCGTGACAGACAGAGATTCACACACACACAAACGTAAACAACCATTAGCCCGTTATTATAAGTTATGATAACAATCGCAACTTTCTTCATCTAGAAGATTTACATGCATTGGTAAATAGAGCTCAAAATAACGCCAACTTACTGTCAAAACAGCGGGCTTTTTCATTGAGCCACTTTAATGTCAGTCGGGTTTCCATTTTCAAGTTGCATAAGGCCTCGGGCAGAGTTTACGCGATTTTATCGTTGCGATTGATCGCGACAAGACAACCGTAAAGTATCAGTGCATGCCGATCTTTTTGCATTTCGGTTGTGATAGTTTTCCAACACGACTAATCGTGACGGACTATCGCAACCAAATTACAAGAAGATCGGCATGCCGTAAACTCGTAACATTTGTGTAGCGATGAATCGCGACGATTAAATCGCGTGAACTTTGTCCGATGCCTAACGTAACGCTCCCTAAATTATGCCTTGAACCGCTTGTGCACTCGAGCAGTCCACTTTCGGCTAACCAATACCTAGTGCTCCGTCTCCTCCCTTGTCTTGAAGTCTGCATCATCATTTACAAAAAGTTTCAAATAATAGCATCTTAGCAGGCTTGCCAGGTATCCAAATATCGAATGTACAATCGATCCAGGCATTTTGAGAGGCTGTTGTGCGCACTGAGATTTGACGGTACTGAAGTGAGGAAATCGCACTTTGTTTGCACGCAAAACAAGCATTTCATAAACCCTCTCTCTCAAAGTAGAGAAAAGTATGTTAGCACCGTCTCCAATCATCAGCTCATTGTCAGCTAGAGAACACATCAATGCATAAGTTAAATGTTGCCTAAGCCGTTCTACTGCCCAATCTTTTCAAAAGCGTATCGTCTTGAACTTTATACATTCACACATATTTTTAGAAGAGATAGTAACAAAAATTTTCAGTCTCTTGCCAGTGAGTTGGAACTTCTGTTCCCAATTATCAGGGATGCTTGCGACACAGCGAGTGAATCAATCCGGGTCTGCAGTGTATTCACGCAGTGGAGTCGTCATCTGGGGGTTGGTACCGCTTTTTATAACATATGAAATTAGAAAAATCATTGATGTTACTTACCTTCTAACAATAAGTCACAGTTTACGGAACCTCGATAGGTTCCAACCAAAAGTGATAGTAAATCTTCTGCGTTGCCTTCCTATTTTCAATCATTTTTCCTTACGTGTCTATTTGCAAACCCGCCCAAGAGCATCCATAAAAGAACTTTTTTGTGACATATTCCTATCATTGCTTTTCGTAATTAAGGAACAAATTCGAGTCAGCGGTATCAGTCCCAACCAACTTCTGGAAGCCGTTGACAACCTCAAGGTTAGCTCAGAAAATCTACCAAATATTAAATTCTTTTGATGGTTTAGAGAGACTTCGTACGTAATCAAATGGAAAATCACTGGCTTCTTCCCAGTCTTTCACCACTGCTTGCTCTGACAGCACAGGAGCTCGAGAAGAGCCGCGAAACCTCATCCATAGGGGAGAATTCTCAAACTGGTAGGTTTTGCTCACTCTACTCGCGATTAATGTACAAAGACTGACTGTACAAGACAGTACCAAAAGACGACTTCTTTTTAGTGGATGACTCATTCTCAAGAATGCTCCATCATATTAACAAGGTTCGTTTCTATGTAGCAATACCAGTCTTACATATGTAGCACTCCTTCAAAAGGCAAGATTATCTCTAGAACGCTACCATAAAGAGTGACACAAGTAATAGTGAAACTGGTGAGAAGGTGGAATCACTTGACCGCATTTTATATGATGTGGAGGAAAAATCCGTGCAACTGGAAAAACAGCTTACTGTTTTGGAGAGGAAAATCAGTGAAAGCAAGGTATTTTTTTATTTCTCTCTTTTCAAAGCCATGCAGAGTTTTTGATTAGTAACATGTCTGTGGGGCTCCATTTCATATGACGATGTTCAGAGTTTGTTTAGCTTAGAAACGATATCATCGTAGAAATATTCGACACACTCCATACTAACTTTTTAAAGACACTGTCCATCCAAATAGAAGGGTGGCATTGACGCAGTATTAGGTTGCTCCGGTTCTGTCCAGTTTGGATTTTCTGATTTAAAATGCTTCTTCCAAAATCAACATTCTTGAACAAATATTGCGTATTAAGGGCTATCAAAAAAAAAACCATAAACCACATTAAAAACGCGAGTGAGAAAGAACAATTTTTTCGAGACCGTCTATTCTGACATACAAATGCTCCCAAATAAGCATAGGCAGACAAATTTGGCTCTGTCACTAAGTAGCTCATACTTCAGAGATTACTCCATAACAAAGAGTAGTTTATGCTGCGCAGAAGTTTATGAACAAATCATTAAATCATTACCTGAGCCCTACTCCGCGCGCAAGTATGCCGACTCTCGAGTATTTGACTTTTTCTTGCTGTCGAGAAAAAAGCCTATTGGCTGATGATTCCTACTTGCTCTTGCTTTACTTAAAATAGCAATTTTGAATACATCACTTGTAGCTATACGAATGTTGTTGCTCATAGAACAACTGAGAGATTTTTCATTCTTTGAAGAGAAATTTGAAACATAAGCCTCTCCTACAGTGAGTGAAAGCATTGCATGCTAGCTTATTACACACTTACTCAGTACAAATTATTACACATTCAGTTTTACGAACACTGCAAAGATTTTCTTAATAGAGATGATTCTTAAGCATAATTATTATGGCAACTTCGCTTCGCTTGGAAATTCAACACTGAAGTTGTTCCAATAAGAATTAGCAAAAGAGGAAAGCATTAAAAAAGCAAGGTAGCGCTTTAGATGACGTCTATGTACTGCAGTGAAAAATTCAAGAAAATGACTGCTTTACGAGGCAACCAAGAATCGGTGTGAACTTTTGGAACAACTCAGAACAATAGCGAATTCCTATAAGTAATAGTATTTAAGACTGGCGCCAAAATTCCCCGCTCTGGCGGCCTCCATCGTCACCTTGATGATTTGCTCTAACACGTCACATACGCGGCAAATCTTTCCGTTTCCTTGCTTTGCTTAGGCAGGAGCCACCGTAGGATGTGTGCGCGCGGCAATGGTCCTGTGTAGAAAACAATACAATCGTGCAGATCGGCTCAGATCCTGGGCATAGTTCACGCGATTTAGTCGCGATGCGATTTGCTAAGTCGGACGAGTGTTCCACGACGCGCTGTTAAGTGTGTGGGTCCCGACGCTTGCGATGGCTGTTCGGCGCGACGAATGGCTACACACATTTCACCGTGCATGGCTCATCTGGCGAAATCGCGCGATTTTGCCAAAACGACGCGATGTTCGCGTCGTCCATTTGCGCAAACGACGGGATGACCGTCTCCGCGAACTGCATTTTTGAGTTTTATCATGTATTGATGACGATAGACAACAATATGATAATAATAAAATTTTTATTTCATGACTGACTTCTTTTTCCAGGTTAGCTGAACAGAACTGTAGAGAATTCAATCAAGCTTTTAGCATTGTGATTCATCGAATTACAAGTTCACCTGATAGGTTTCCTTCTACAACAATTTTCATTGGTGCTTTGTTTTGAAAATAATTTTCTCCGGCGTTCGAAATTTCGACGCAATGCCGCTTGCTTGTGGAAAGATTAAGCCTTGAGGTTCTCATTTTCTTCCAAGCGACAATAAATTCGGGTTATTTCAGAGTCACTCATCAGACCTTCAGCTAAGATTTGCAGAACAAGCTCCTCCAGTTTCGTACTCTCTCAAAAAGGTTGAATTATGAGCATCAGACCCTACACAACACTGAATCATCGTTTATTTTTGAGCGGCCGTTTTGTTAAAACTTGAAGGAAGTGAAAAAGCATCACAAAAAATCTCGAAACTGAATACAAGGCTTACTAACTTCGTCATTTTTCACGTTTATGCAATAGTAGCGTAAGAAAATTGTATCACATAATATCAAAAATTCTAGCGAAAAGTTTTGTTGAAACTTCTTGCTATTGCCAAATGTAATGTACTAGACGGTATGCGTCGTCAGTAACCCGTAACCCGTAACCTCTTTCGTACCCAAAATCGCACCACCCTCAGTTTGGCTGAACGGTACCTTCAATCATATTCATGAAAAGTCAAGAACGGCAACTGATAATTTATAATCGCGCTGCGCGCAAACGGCGGAAAAATCATCCATCATTGCTAGAGCGCGCATGGAGTAGGCATGGAACGTAGACCGTTAACCGCTCCACCGCTTAGCGTGCACCTACTTCATAAGAGGCATATGCCTTGATCCAGGGTTAACTTTGTTTTTTTTCAGAATACAATCCTTTCTACTTTTGTTCATGATTCTTTTGGCGCATCAAAAAAAGCCAGTCAAGATTAACACCTCACTTTACGTCAGTCTGAAAAAAGTGCTTACGCTGCCTCTCGTGATCGAAAAAGACAACGACTAAGAAAGTTGTAAAATGCAACAATAAATCTGTTTTTCTTCACCTGTGCACTTCGTAGTATTTTTCTGTGCGCTAAACATTTTAACGTCAGAAGAACTTTCATGTATGTTCAGACCGCAAGTTAAAGGCAGCGTCCCACCAGACTGGGGGCTGGCTCTCTTAATGATGTAATAGTAGACCCCCTACCTAAGCGATGACTGGAGTTCGGAGCGAAAAAGGGAGTCTACCAAGCCTGAAGTTTGCTCCGAAAGTGGGCCGAATCTTACGGTAGGCCCTAACGCCGCCCACACGGCAATATCGATTTGCAGGGCCAGAGTGCGTATAGAGCACACACCATAAGCGCAGGGACCCGCAACGACTCTGCGTCTCTACCTTGCATGCACCTCGCACTCGCCCGATCTTACCGTAAGATTCGGCCGACCTTCGGAGCAAATTTCAGGCTTGGTAGGCCCCCTTTTTCGCTCCGAACTTCAGTCATCGCTTAGGTAGGAGGCCTACTATTACATTATTACGAGAGCCAAATTTCCCAGTCTGGGGGACACTGCCTTTAATTATAGAAGTCTAATAAGTTCTGGCCAAATCTGCAGGGTTAGGTGGACAGGTTGCGACAGAGCCGTTGTGCGAAATCACTTCCCTATATACTAATATAAATTCAATTTTCTTTCTAAATGTAGCGTGCTGCTCACTCAGACGCAACGTCTTGTGGTTTGTCGTACGTTTGCCGTGTTAGCATATTATTCAGGACATCAACCATACAACTAGAGAAAGAATTAACCAGTTGCTGCTCAGGCTCAATACCTCTTCTTGTTTGATACACAGGAGTTACAATGCAGAGAGTGACAATGGTATGATTACAAAAGCTATGCAGAGATTTTGATAACGTACTTTTCTACATTGCAAATAGTTTCAGAACGAAAGGAATCAGCAGCCTCCGTTTTTTCACTGAAAGTGACAGGAGACGACTTGCAACACGCGGCTCGATACAACGCAGACAATATGGAAGAGGTAAGCATTATCGGGTTTTGATCTTTGAATAACATGAGCTTGAGGCAGAATTCCGTACAAATGAGAGGATATGAAACGAGGCATCCTCAAGAAGAACATACAAACGCTGCCTCCAACTCTTCTCACCTCTCTGATTCACCGGATGACGTACGTTTTTGCTTATATCTAGGTTTCAACGAAATTATTGGTTTTAGGCACGCGCGAATACGCATAGTTCCACAGAAGCAGTGGAATTGGATAACAGTCGTGACGAAGAAATGAAGGAGGAGTGCGCAGAAGCTATTACCATATTAAACGAGATGCAGCGAGAACCTGATGTTGAATCAGTTGCGCAAAAGATTCCGGAAACGGGAATTGAAGAAAATCATACTGAAAAAAGTGCGTTGGAATTACAGGACGAACGACGAGTTGACGACAGAGTTGAGAAGATGTTTCTGCTAAGCACTAGCGAAAGCCCCGCTATAGGCGATGGGTGCGATGTGCCCAAAATCTTAGGTGAAGGTAATGGAGCAGAGACATCTCCGGAACAGGAGGCAGATGGCAACTTAAATGAGAGCGAGGATCAAGAGAACCCCCGAAACGTGGAAAATACACCTCGAGGTAGTGAGCAAAGTTCTGGGACCACAGAGCAGGCGGATCAAGCAGAACGAGGGACTCAGATTCAAGTGCCGACATTGAATATAGAAAGTGACGCTGATAAACAAACGCAGAATGACTTACAGGAAGAAGACAAAGATGTTTTTGACATTGTAAAGGAGAGTCTACTAGAAGAGAATAAAAACTCGAATGTTTGCAGTCAGGAAGATCTCGAACATCCGTACGAAATTGAATCTGATGAGTACACGTCAAAAGAAAGTGTAGGTGAATTTATGGATGGAACAGTGGCTTTGCGTAAGCTCAGTAATCTGACAGAGAGGAGCGAAGACAGTGGCGAAGATACTGATAGTTTGGAGTCGAAGATTTTAGAAGTTCCCGCCATAACAGCTAACATTTCTGTAATAGGAGATGTCAAAGACGTGGAGGGAATGGAAGACGAAGATGAGCAAGTAGAAATACCAAAAAGTGCGAGAGATGTTGAAGGAGCTGCAAATGTTCAGGTGTTGGATGAAGTAACTATTCCTCTCCCCTCACAAGACAAAATCTTACATAACGAAGTTTCCGATAAAATCGAAAACGAGGCGCAGGACGAAGTGACGAATGCTGCCGTATCTCATGTGGACGCTGATGTTTTAGACAATGATGCTATTGTCGATAATGGGCAGAGTACGGCACTTGAAATCGAAAATGAGGAGGCACCCGCACACCGAATAGTGGAAAAATTTGATACCAATGAAGTTGACGCAAATATTGCTAACGGCGCAGAGGAGAAGCCACTGGAGAAAGTGGAGCAGTTGCTGGAAGAGCAATCATTGCAAGACCGTAATAGTGAGATTGAGGAAACCAATACGAGTGCTAGCTTGAACGACAATTACAGCGCAAGAGCGAAAATCGAGGAAGTTCGAAGTGAGTTATCATGCGAAGAAGTAGAGGAACAGTCGATAAGTGAGATTGACAATGTAAGCAATAAGCAAGAAGAGGAAAAGAACGCGAAGGATAGTTGTTTACTAGCAGCAGAAAACGTTGGAAGTGAATCGAATGATAATGGGGAAGCATCAGCTGAGAACCAGCAATCTGCGTATGAGTATAACGAAGATGGAGTAACCAATACTAGAGTTGACAAAAACAGTGTCGGTGCTGGGACTGTCCAAAATAGTGACAGGGGTTTCGACGAAAATGACAGTATTTTGAGCAGTATTGACCTTCGTGATGAATTAGGTGAAGGCAACAACGTTGAGGACCAGGATACTGCACAAACAATAACAACCGGTTCAACCTTCGATGAAATTGACATTGGCCGACAGTCCTCTCTGGCAAGCGTTCTGAAAGATGTTGAAGCTCGGCTGGTCCGATTTCCAAGCGAAATTTCGCATGCTGAGGTATCTACGTTGCGAAAGGAAAAGGAGTTCGATGAAGCTCCAATAAGGTATGCAAGTGATTCATGTGTTAGCCTTGAATTCTGTCTTTTTTTCATTATAGAAGCCACTCATTATCGCCGCAGTTATCAGAGACGCTGTCGACATTAGGCGTTATAGCTTTACCGGAGGTGGGTGTTTCTCTGAGAAGGAAGTCCCGCAGCAAGACACAATCCAAGCATCCACCAAAGTTTCAGTTCGAGCTGACACACAAATACCATATTCAATCCCACATCAACACTGCCTCAAGAATCCCTGTCACCATTCAGCCGGTAAACGACAAGCTTGTTGCATATTTTTGATACAGCCGTATATAGCAGCATAGCTTGGCGAGAATGCTCCGAAAGACACATCAGTCTCATAGCATAATTTTTCTTTTTATGAAAAGATCTGCGTTGCGTTCGTAGTACTGAAATAACGCAAGTAGAAAGTTCCCATATCACTTGACTGCAATGTATTAGGTGGGTCCGAAAGTTCTGTCGTTTCTTTTTCAAAAATTTGTAACTCCGCGAAATTTCGACGGATTTGCTTGCATGTAATTTCATTAGAAAGATTAGGTCTTCCGCTTTCAAATGCTTTTTCGTAGAGCTTCTGTTTTACACTGAGTGCAGAAATAAAAATGGAAAATTAAGACCATGTAAACTTTGACCATTTTAAGTACTTACTTACTTAGATACTTAGATGGCCCGTCCTCACGTGACGTGCGGGCCCCAGTACAGAAGTCGCCATTGATCCCTGTCCCTCGCTTCGGACATCCACGATCTTCTTGGTCGTCGTCGGGCTGCGTCCACGAGTTCCAGGGGCAAGAATCGTATCCAGCTGATTTCTCAGCTGGTCCATCCGTTCCACGAACACGTCTGCCCATCTCGTCGGTGGTCTTCCTCGAGGACGTTTGGCTTCGCGAGGAATCCACTCAGATGTTCTTAGTGTCCATCTATCGTCCGTTCTTCTCATTATGTGACCGGCCCATCGGTGTTTCGCTTTCGCAACGTATTCCGCTGGGTCACGAAGACGGGACATTCTTCTCATATCCGTGCTGCGAAGTCCGACTAGATGTTGCTTGTGTCGGGTCATCTTCAGAAGACTGCGCTCGAGCGCTCTGTGGGTGGTCCTTAAAGCTTTCGACGTGGCTACGGTGTCGGCCCAAGTCTCAGCTGCGTAGCAGAGCGCTGGGAGAACGGTTGAGTCGAACAGGTGGGCACGAAGCTCCGGGTCCGTCAGTTGGTCGGTGGCTTCCTTCAGAGGCCCGAAGGCGGCCCAGGCTGCTCTTCTTCTCCTGTTAAGTTCTTCCCTCAAGTCGTTCTCCATGTTCATCGAACGTCCGAGATACACGTAAGAAGACGTCTCCATGATAGGGGTGCCTTCCAATTCCATTTCTGCATCTTCGCAAAGGGCGTTCTTCATGAACTGAGTCTTCTTCCGATTTATTCGCAGTCCGATCTTCTTCCCTACTTCGTTTAGTTCCTTCAGCATCGCCTCTGCTTCAGTGATACTGCTCGAGAAAAGGACGACGTCATCCGCAAAACGAAGGTTGGATAGGAATCTCCCATCAACTCGTATGCCTCTCTCTTCCCAGTCTAGTGACTTCATCACCCACTGCAAGGCCGCGGTGAACAGCTTCGGCGAAATAGTGTCGCCTTGTCGAACCCCCTTCCCAATTGGAATGGTTAGGGGGCGATGGAATAGCTGCATCGTTGTTGTACAGTCCTTGTAGCAGTCGGCTAGTGTCCTCACGTAAGCTGGTTCCACTCCTGGATCGACTAGCGCAGACAGGATGGCGTTGGTTTCGACGCTGTCAAAGGCTTTCTCGTAGTCGACGAAGGTTAGGACGAGAGGCAGTCGGTACTCCCGGCAGACTTCTATGACCCTCGAAACCGTCTGGATGTGGTCCATGCAGCTGAATCCTTTGCGAAATCCAGCTTGTTCTTGGGGTTGGGCTTCATCCAGTGTCCTAGATATGCGTGCGAGGATAATCTTCGTGAAGAGCTTGTACAGCACACTCAGCAGGCATATTGGACGGTAATTTCGAAGATCTTCCCGTTCACCCTTCTTAAAAAGAAGGACGGTTCTTGACGTTCTCCACTGGTCGGGAATCCTCTCCTTCTGAAGGTAAGATGTCAGGTGCGACGCGAGAATCTCGTGTAGACGTTGTCCTCCGGCTCGCAGAAATTCGACGGAAAGATGGTCTGGTCCTGGAGCCGTGGATGTCTTCATGGTCTGGATCGCCGTGCGCACTTCAGCAGGTAGAATTCGTGGTGGTACTTCTCCAGTGGGAACAACGGGCATCGGCACGGGTGTTGATGAGCGGAAGAGGTTGGTATAGAAGTTCTTCGCGATAGATTCCATCTTGTATCGGGAAGAAGTCGGAGTCCCGTCTTCGTTCAATAGTGCAGCCAGCGGTACGTGATATTCACAGAGGTCCCTTCGGCATTTCTTAAGACTTCGTCTTTCTTCGGCTGCTTCCAGTATCTTGGCTTGCCTGTACTTCCTGAGATCCTCCTGCAAAGCTGTTCTGCAACTGGCGTTGGCTATCAGTCGCTCGAGATGGGTTGCATTCGGATCCTGCCTCAGAAATCTTCTTCTTTCGAGCAATTCCTTGGTGGTCTTCGATATACGTTCCAAGTTCTTCTCAGAAGTCACTGAGGCACATTCTCCGCAGGCTCGCAATCCTTTCAGAAGCCGGTCGTAGTCATACGTTGGGTCCTCCTCGATGGGCCAGTCACATCTTGATATGAGCTCCTCCAGCCTGTTACCGTCGTAAACGACTTCCTTCCTTCTCGCGGCACTGTGACAGACTTTCTTTTCCAGCCTTCGGCTGAGTCGTATCTTCGCTCGAAGGAGGCGGTGATCGGAGCCACTGCAGAAGGATGGAACTACTGAGACATCGAGCAAGCTCCACCTTCGGTTGGCGAGAATGTGGTCGATCTCCGCGTGAGTCGTTCCGTTGGGCGATTCCCATGTCCACCGGCGATGTTCTTTCTTCATGAAGATGGAATTTCCATGGAAAAGTCGTGCGGCGGAGAGAAGCCCAACAAGACGGTTGCCGTTTTCGTTCCGGAGCCCATATCCAAACTTCCCGATCCTATATTCCTTTTCTAGTGGCATCCCGATTTTCGCATTGAAGTCGCCCACAACATACTTGTAGAAGGACTTTTCGTTGCGGACGACCTCCTCCACGTCTTCGTAGAAAGCATCTAGTTCTGAGTCGTCAGCTGCTGATGTTGGAGAGTAGCAGTTGATGATGCTGATGGTCTTCTGACGTGGAGGGCGTAGTCGTAGGATGGCTAGTCGGGGTGATAGGATCTCGTGCGAATCGACAAGATGGACGATAGATGGGTGGACGACAAAGCCAACACCTCCCACGTTTCGTGATGGAACCTTCTCACCACGAATGATGAGTGTTCCATCATTCATCTGTCGCACGTCCTTCTTCCTGGACTTCGTTTCCTGCAGAGCGATGATGTGGTACTTGATGTGCTCTGCAGCGTCGAGAAGAGCGTGGAGGTCGGCGTTTGTGGAGACTGTCCTGGCGTTGTAGGTGCAGAGCATGAGGCAGTCTCCGTGGCGTGTCGTCCGGGCAGACGTGTCGTTTTTGTCCAATCCAAAAGGCGCCCTGAGGACCCTGACATCAGTCTTGCTACCACCCGGCGCCGTAGGCGGGATCCGATGTACAGGGTTTCTTTCTATTCTTCTAACTGGTAGAGTAATGAAATTTTCCCCTACAAGAGCAGACTTACTAGGCCAACTCTTGATTTCCACGGGGTGATCGCTGACCCCGGGCTTGGAGCGGGGAGAACCGCCTAGCGACCTGAAAACCAGACGGCGGCGGATCTGGCCTGGCCGGCTCTTAGCTAGGCATCCGGCCGAAACCGGAAACGTCGAACTCCTTCACAGCTTGGGAGGCCCTGCCAGAGTATACACTCGGCTGTGCATCGCAGTTCGACATCCAGTGTCACCCCCACGCCACGATGAGGCGGCCGACCATTGTGGGGGCATTTTAAGTTAGGTCACCAAAAATCTGGAATGCTGCAGAAAAATCTGAAATCGTCAGTACATATGTTTTTTCACCTCCTCTTTGTAGCTGTGAAAAGTTTGTGCTATTTGGACGTCTCTGTGAAAAGTTGTGATTTTCGCGAAAATTGACAAATAAATAATTTTGGCGTTTTCTATAGTAAACTCGATATTCATAACTTCTCACAGAGACGTCCAAACAGCATAAACTCTTCACAGCTCAAAGAAAAGGTCAAAAAACAAATGTACTGAAGATTTCAGATTTCTCTGCAGCATTCCAGATTTTTGGTGATCTAACTTAAAATGGTCAAAGTTTATATGGTCTTAGTTTTCCATTTTTATCTCCGCACTTAGTGTGAAACAGAGGCTTCACAAAAAAGCGTTTGAAAGAGAAAGGATTATTCTTTCCAATAAAATTACAAACAAGCAAATCCGTTGAAATTTCGCGAAGTTACAAATTTTTGAAAATGAAACGACAGAACTTTCGGACCCACCTAATACTTTTGCTTTCACTAAATTCTGTGGTTACGTAGTTATCACCTTTGCAACACTTATCAACTCACTTTCATCTGAACTAGATTTTTTTTATTCATTTTTGATTACTAATAAAGGGAAAGAACAATGAATCTAAAAGTCGGCAGAAACGTCTCACTCGGATCCCGCTTGCTGTCGCATATGCTCTCCACAGCAGACATCAAAACATACAGTTGCCGTAATTCTTTCTGTGACTAAGAATCGAGAAAAAAATGAGCTAAAAATGCGAAAATTTTGGCTTTTTGGGTGGTTTGTGCTAAATTTTAATTTCTCGAGAATTAGCGAGACAAAGAGACAAATGGACAACCTATAGACAAATGTAAATGTATGGTTACTCAGACAATTGCATCGGAAAGTTCGCGGCCTCAAAGCGTGTTACATGGAGCGCCGCGGCCCTTGAAATTTCAGCCCTGCACGCCGCGGCCCATGTATATTTTACCGGGAACGCCGCGGCCAAAGTTGAAATTGGGAAGAGATTATCGGGAGGGTCGCGGCCCAGTCACCCCACATGGCGGGCCACGGGCTTTATGAAAGGCCGCACTTCTTACACGCTGTAGGGTAAGGCGCAACCTGCGTGAGGTACGCCGCAGCGTTGGGGCTACCCTAAGTGTTTAAGAAGCTGGGTATCACCTAAGATTTGGTCCTGTCTGACAGAATTGAGTTTTCATGATTATGAAATAAACTCCAGCAGTCAGTTGACTGCTATCGACGACACTAGATGATGTCGACAGATGGGCTAACGAGTTGCTCAGTTTGC